GCCTCCACCACACCACAACCTGTCGGCCCTCATGTTTTATATTTTTTAAGTGTATCTCATCTCTTTCAGGGAGAGTGGAGGGGGGTGAAGGAGAGACATAGGCACACTTGACAAGCTTTTGTCATGCCACACCACTGGTCCCCCAGCCTTCTCGGAGCACATGTATTCCACATATTTCAGGTTGACTCAGGGTCTGATCAGTTTTCTGTGTGGCAGGATATGCATCTTAATTTATCACTATCTACTTAGACGCTAATTTAATACCAACAAAATATAGCAACTTAGCTCTATTCCCTCCTTCTTTGTTCTATTCTTGTCATATATTATGTCATATATATGTTACTCAACAATATCATTTATTTTTTAGGGCAAGTTTTGCTATAGGGTGCATGCACTCACTGGAAAGAGACAGAAAGCAAGAAATCATTCCCCAGGAGGTCTGGCCACATTGCAATCCCTTCTCCTCCATTCTCCTCTAAGGATTCTGGGCATGGACGCACACGTGCCCAGCATAATTTTAAGCTTCTGGGTCCAGAACTTGACCAACAGTCGACTACACTGGAGTCCAGTGATGTAACCATTATGCTATCTGCTGGTCCCTGCTTCTTTGGTTTTATCTTTTAAAATTTAAGAACGGTCCAGCAGATGGTGCAGCAGTTGCATTGATTGACTCCCACATGGCCAAGTGCAGTTCGAGTCCTGAACCCAGTGGCTTGAAAATCATGTTGGGCACATGTGTGTGCTTGATATCCTGGGAGGAGAATGGAAGAGAAGGGATTGCAGTGGGGTTATTTTTCACTTTCTGTTTCACTGTCTCTGTCTCTCCTGCAAAGTGCACATGATCTAAGGCCAAAACCTCTAAAAAAAATAAAATTTAGGAGAAAAATTTTAAAAATGTATCTATTGAATAGGTTTTGGCAAACTATGATAAACAGACCAAATCTGACCCCCTGCCTATTTCTGTAAATAAAACTATGTTAGAACAATGTCATATCCATTCATTTCTGTATTACTGGGTATGCTTTCATGATGAAAGGTAGAGTTAAATAGCTGTGACAAATGGAATTAATGTTGCTAATACCACAATCATAAGGAAGTTTTCCTGGATTATCTGGATGAGTCCAATGCAATTAAAAGAAAACAAAAATGATTTATTTATAACTGATTTTTCTAAGTGCTATCCACAGATTTTTTGCTAGTGCTCTTTATTCATGTACATTCGAGCTTCATTTGGTATCACTTTCTCCTAGTCTAAAGAACTTCTTTTTGAACTTTTTGTAAGGAATTCCTGCTAGCAACACATTCTTTGTCTTTGTTCATCTGTCTGTGTCTTCATTTCACCTTTGTTTATAAAGGAATGGTTTTAAATATAGCAAAGACATCCCACCACTTTTCTGGCCTCCATTGTTTGTGATGAGAAGTCAGCTGTTCTCTTAGTGTGGTTCCACTGTACATGGAGTCATTTTTTTTTCTTGCTGTTTTCAAGATTTTTTCTTTATTAATCAGTTTGACTCATCAATGTCTAGGAGTGGATCTCTTTGTATTTATTCTATATGAAGATAACTGAACTTCATATATATACATACATACATATATATATATATATGTATGTATATAATATTTTCTATCAGTCTAGGAAACTTTCTGTCCATTTATTTCATTTTTTTCCTCTTCCGTCACCCTTAATTTTTATGGGATTCCCATTACATATTTAATGGTAACCAAAAGGTTTCTGTTCTTTTCTTTTATTCTTCTCTGTTTTGTTGGACTAAGTGATCTCTTTTGTGCTATCTTCATGTTTGCTGATTTTGTCTTTTGTCAGTTCAAATCTTTCCGGGAGCCTTTCCAGGGATTTTTTTTTTTTTTGAGAGGTTTTTGCCATAGGGTGTGTGCATTCACCAGACAGAGAGAGACAGAGAGATAGAAAGCGAGAAATCACCCCCCGGGGGGATGGCCATGCCTCAATCCTTTCTCCTCTATTCTCCTCTCAGGATCTTGGGCACACAGGCACATGCGCCCAGTGTGAGTTTTAAGCCACCGGGTCCAGGACGCAAACCGGCAAACCGGCGTTGACTATGTGGGAGTCCAGCAACATAGCCATTATGCTAACTGCTGGTCCCTCCAGGGAGGATTTTTTTTTTTTTTTTTTAATTACTGTATTTTTAAACTCCAGAATTTCCATTTGGTTTTTATAATTTCTGTCTCTTTCACTGATATTCTTAATGAGTTATTGTTGTCATCCCTTAATTCTTTAAGAGTATTTCCTTTAGTTCTATGAAGCCTTTGTTAAGTTCACCATTCATTCTCCCCTTTCTCCAACAGACTGTATCTATTAAGTCATCTTTTCAAGTATTTGGGTTACTATTATTTCCTGTTATTTGCGTATTTCCTTTTTGTTGAAAAATAGACATTTTAGATAATATACTGTAACACCTATAGATTCTTAATGCCTCATCATCTTCCAGGAATGTGTTTATTGATGTCTTTTTAGTGATTTGCTTGTACTAATTGTATGTTTATTTCCTTTGAAGTGTGTAATCTTTGATATATACATATATATATTCATGTTTTTCATTTTTTTTAATTCTTGTTTTTGAGACTAGCTTCTCAGGGTCTCCTCTGTGAAGTAGAGAATCAGTGATTGGTCAGCGGTTGTGTTTCAACACTTTTTTATGATCTGAGCTATGTCTCACAAAACTCATATGTTTATGTCCTCATGCCCAGTATTTCAGAAAGTGTTTGTATTTGGAAATAGGGTCTCGAACATAGTAATAAGACATAATAAGGTCATTAGGATGTTTCTTAATCTAATATGACTGATGTCTTTAAAAGAGATTAGGTCACAGATACATACAGAGGGAGGGCCATATGAAGACAAGGAAAGAAGTCAGCCATCTGAAAGTCAATGAGGATGCCTCAGAATAACCCTGTCACCACCTTGCTCTTGAACTTCTAGCCTCTAGAATTGTGAGAAAGTAAATTTCTGTTGTTTAAGCTACAGCCCATGGTGCTTTGTTATGTCAACTCTAATAAAATAATATAGATCTTGAGTCAATGAGACTTCTATCCTTTCCCAGTAAGTCAGTGTAGCTTGAGGAATGGATGAAAGGTTTGGGCTATTTAAGTCTACCCCAGTTTTTACTTTACTTTTACAAGGGGTCAAAACATTCAGCCAATAGTGAATAGTTAACTCGGGTCCTCTTCAGGCTCCTTAGGGTATGTGTGATGTTGCACATATATATAGTCTTCCAGGTAAGTAGGATATTATCAAGGTCCACTGTAGCTATCTTGTTCCCTGAATCTCTCTGTTGAGTTTCTGTCTGTATGCAAATTTCTTACCCCAACAAATACTTTGATCTCAGTCAGGCTAGAAAGAACATTAGCCCTATCAGCTTGTTTGCTACTGGGATTAATATCGTTTTAATAATACATTGGTCATAGAACTTTCTCTGCTCTGCTTCCAATAAAATTAGCCCTCTTAAGCAATGAGGCTGCTGGTCCTCACAATCTAATTTACCAAAGTAAACGGCATAATCAAGCCTAGGGAGTGGGAGAAATGGGAGCAGCCCTGAGCTAACGCGCCACAGATATCCACTGTTCTAGTAGATTTTTCTTAAACACTTAATTGTCATATGCTTTAACCAATTGTCATATGCTTTAACCAACTTTTGAAAGGTAATTTATTGACAAGTAAAGGGTCCAGTTTTATAATTTCTTTTTAGAGAAATTTGTCATATCATCACTTAGACATTCTGGAAGTCCCACTAATTCACTATTTTTTGAAAACTCTTTTTTCATATAATTTCATAGTTGCTTCTAGTCCCTGCTCAGAATGCTCTTCTTTGACCAACCTATGTAAAATAATCTTTGCCTTATCTCCTGACTGTTTTATTTTACTTCATAACAGTTTTCACTTCCTGACATTATTTTATATATTCATCTGTCTACTGTCATTCTTACCCACTGGAATACAAATTCCTGATAATAGGACATTGTCTTGTTAATCACTGCATCTTTAATGTATACTACAATGGCTGACAAACAGTAGGCCTTTTATAAATATTTGAGAAAGACTAAATGCTAGAGATCTAGTTTTTAGCTTGTGAAAAAATAATCATTCTCTTAAACTTCTGTGGTATAGTTAATTGTTACAACATTTTGTGATGCTATGAAATTTAGCCCTGCCATTATTCTTCTGGGAATCAACCACATACAGAAATATTAGTCTCGTGTGCAAAAATATTTGTATAAGGGACCAGCAGTTAGCGTAATGGCTATGTCGCTGGACTCCCATGTAGTTGACCACAGTTCAAGTCCTGGACTCGGTGACTTAAACTCAAGCCAGGCGCATGTGTGTGCATGCCCAAGATCCCGAGAAGAGAATGGAGGAGAAGAGATTGCGGCGTGGCCATCCCCCCTGGGGGGGTGATTTCTTGCTTTCTGTCTCTCTGTCTCTCTGTCTTTCTGGTGAGCGCACGTACCATATAGCAAAAACCTCTCAAAAAAAATATTTGTATTTCTCATTGCATCACTGTTTATTTTAGAAAACACTGAGAACAACTAAATATATAGTAATATGGGAATGTTAAATACTAAAAAATGTGAGGCTATTAAAAAGGCATTGTTTAGATATGTTTCATAGTGAAAAAAATGTTTATGATAGTTGTGAACAGTGCATGTAACAGAACACTGAATATGATTGTATAATTAGTAGCAATGAAAGTAGGGTGTATGTATGTGTGTGTGTGTCTTGCCTGTTTTCATGTAGATTTGGATGTGTGGGTATGATAAGGGATCATTTTTTACTCTTTTTTTTACTTTTTAATTTATAGTTACATGAATTAATTTTATAATTTCTAATTATAAAATAAAGAAAATATTATCACCTATTCCATTTTGATTAGTTCCAAACATAGCCTATCAGTGCACTTCATCTCCTCAGAGTGTGCTTACTAGAAATCAGCATCTTTTGATGTCCCAGGGAGAAGATAAGCACTCACCATATGTCTACAGTTGATGATTGAGTATACAAGTGCAATACAAAATTCCAAGGGATAGGAGAACAGAAAAATACGTGAAACTTCCCTTCCAAGTTTCTGTAATAAGAATAAGAAATCTTGCATTACAATCTAGAGTAAGCATGTTCATGGAAAGAGCTCTTAGTATGAGACTCAAGAAGAAGGAAAATAATAAATCATTTGATTTCCCTAGGCATTTCTACTCCTTTGTTTACTGCTTTACTTTAATTAGCTTTCATTTTATATATATTAATATATTTAGTATATTTATTTCAGTTATGTTATATTTAAATTAGAATCACAAATTATTAGTGCTGCAGCATATTAAAAATTGTTTATACATACACACACACATACACACACACACAAACACACACAAACACACAAACATGTAGCAGAGGCCAGCAGGTGGTGTGGTAGTTAAAGTGCTGGACTCACACATGGCCAACCATGGGTTGAGTCTCGAACCTGGTGGCTTAAAAATGATGCTGTATGTGTGCGTGTGTGCCCAAAATCCTGAGAGGAAAATGCAGGAGAAGGGACTGTGGCATGGCCATCCCACCAGTGGGTGATTTCTTACTTTTCCTCTCCTGTCTCTCTCTCTCTCTCCAGTGAGCACACATATTCTATGGCAAAAACCTAAAAATATATGTAGCCACTAGGAAAAGATGGGTTAGAGATATAGCTCTAATATATAAGTTCATTTTGTGTAACTGGTAACAGCAAGTAAAACTGAAATTTGTCATTTGGGATTTACAGATTTAAAGCAAAATTCACATAAGATACAAAGATAGGCTGTGTATGAAAAGCTTTATATTAAACCAGAAATTACAAGGTATTTACAATTTGAATTTTAAGTGTCAATAGCAAATTGTTCTGTTGATTTTGGAATGTTGTTTCTGGTCCACCAGGATTATACTTCTCAGGCATTAAGAAAATCATAAATGACCCTGTTCCTAGTGCATAGATACTTACCTTGGGATTCTTCTAATTTTTAACTCTTTAATTGAGCAAGCCAAAAATACAAACATTTTATTAACATTTACTAAAAAAACCCTAAAAATGTTAAAATTATTTTTTAATTAAAATGTTCAATCAGGATCTCTCTGCTAAATCAAATAATTTCGGGAGGACAAATAAGAGCAAAAGCTTCATCTTACTTCCCTAGGCTTCAAAATTTCTGAAAAGAATCATATTGAAATTACGATCTTTATGTATAATTGGTCACTTACTGCTTGTCCATAATTTCTGTATGAAACAGTATGAAAAGTAGACAGCTCAATTATTGTTAGAGTTAGTGCGATAAGTGTAATAATTGTGCAGAAGATATTCGTGGTCAAAGCACATATAGCCTGAAAAGGAGACATAGGGTAAATGTTTATATTCACAATAAACACATTGGTTAAATTGTATGTATTGCTGAAAAAAAGTCATCTAATTAAATCTTTGATCTAATTTCTAAAGCTTTAGAAACCATAAATAAATTTTCTGTTAATCCAGTTAATCTGGAGGAAACATTATAATATCATCACATTAGTAAGTATAGTAAGTATCAGTCTCACTTGGGCTAAAGCATTTTATATTTTACAATCATAATTTTAGCAAAAAGGATTCCACTGCCAAGAAAAAATGGGAAAAAAAGAAATGATGGATAATGACTGATTGTAGAAATAAAGTCAAATATGAATTAATAAATTTTAACCTTAGGTTTTCATCATTTAGGGAAATTTATCAATAAATTTGAACACCAGGGTTTTTTTTAATCAATAAAATGACATGATCAGATTAATTAATTTCTAAAATATCTTTTAGCTCAAAGATTCAAAGAATTTTTTCTTCCCCTATCTTTCCACCTAAACCACAGATAGATCTTTATTCTGGACAAATCTACTTTGTTATAAGATACAATCTTGCTCCTCAACTGAATAGTTTAGAAAATGAAGTTTTACAGTAGTATAATATTTAAATATGAGGAGGCTTCAAGAAGTTCATGTGTATGATGCATACTATGAAAAACCTATGCATGAATTTTAATAATAATTTTTGCATCAAAGCACACTCATACTTTTCACTTCATTTTTCTATGAACTTTTTTTTTTTTTTTTGGAGAGGTTTTTGCTATAGGGCGCGTGCGCTCGCCAGACAGACAGAGAGAGACATAGACACAGAAAGCGAGAAATCACCC